CCTTGATTCATGGACCTAACGTTCCAGGTTGTTATGCAATATTACTCTTTACAGCATTAGACTTTACTTCCAACATCAGTCACATCCATAGCTGGGTGTCGTTTTTGCTTTGGTTCCATCTCTTCATTCTTTCTGGAATTATTTCTCCACTCATCTCCAGTAGCATATTGGGCACCTACCGACCTGGGGAGTTCATCTTTCAGTGTCCTATCTTTTTGCCTTTTCATACTATTCATGGGATTCTCAAGGCAAGAATGCTGAAGTGGTTTGCCATTCCCTTCTCCAGTGGACCACATTTTGTCAGAACTCTCCACCATGAGCCATCCATCTTGGGTGGCCCTACATGGCATGGAAAGGCTGGCACTTGTGCTGTCTGGTCTGTACCATTTCCTCCAGCAAATTATGGGGATTCTTCTCAGAACGCCAACCCTTCCTTTCTTCCCTGCACTTAAAAACCAAGTGTGGGATGCTGCCTCTGAAGTTCGACCCATCTGGGCCATTAGTAGGGAGAGGTGTCTACTTTTCCTCATCACACCACTTCAAGGTTGGAATGATATCCATTCCTTCCCTGCCTGAGGATGCCCTCTATGGGGGCCACTTCTGGTATAGTTCTGCCCTCTGCTTGGTGCGGGAGTGACTGTGAGGGGATATCCCACGTCCAAGGGCAGAGAAGACCCAACAAGGTGGTAGGTGCTAGAGCAGTGCCTCTTGTTGAAAGTGAAAGAGAAGAGTGAAAAAGTTGGCTTAAAACTCAACATTAAGAAAACTAAGACCGTGGCATCTGATCCCATTTCTTCATGGCAAATAGATGGGGAAACAGTGGAAACAGTGGCAGACTTTAGTTTTGGGGGCTCCAAAATCACTGCAGATGGTGACTGCAGCCATGAAATTAAAAGATGCTTGGTACTTGGAAGAAAAGTTCTGACCAACCTAGACAGCATATAAAAAGCAGAGACATTACTTTTGCCAACAAAGGTCCATCTAGTCAAAGCTATGATTTTTCCAAGGTCGTGTATGCATGTGAGTGTTGAACTATAAAGAAAGCTGAGTGCTGAAGAATTGATGCTTTTGAACTGTGGTGTTGGAGTAGACTCTTGAGAGTCCTTTGGACTGCAAGGAGATCCAACCAGTCCATCCTAAAGAAAGCCATTCCTGAATAGTCATTGGAAGGACTGATGTTGAAGCTAAAACTCCAATACCTTGGCCACCTCATGTGAAGAGCTGACTCATTTGAAAAGACCCTGATGGTGGGAAAGATTGAGGGCAGGAGGAGAAGGGGACTACAGAGGATGAGCATCACCGACTCAATGGACATGAGTTTGAGTAAACTCTGGGAGTTGGTGATGGACAGGGAGGCCTGGCATGCTGCAGTCCATGGGGTTGCAGAGAGTTGGACACAACTGAGGGACTGAACTGAACTGAACCATTCTTAATAGTTGAAAAATGCATACATTTAAGCCAGCTACTTAGTGGGGATAAATTTAATTAAGCCAATACCCTCTGCTACTAGATTACTACTTCACTATGATTTGTGCATTGATCACAAACTCTCTAGTCCTGAACAGCATTCTCAGATATGTGTGGCACTAAGCTTGAAGGGGGCCAGGAAAGAAAATATAGATAGTTCAGCTGAAATCTGCAACTATTGTGTGTCAACTATCTGTAGGACTCTATAATTACTACCACTGAATATTGTAAATATGGTTGATCAAAAGAATAATCTTTGAATATCAAAGTTTATATAATGTAGATGCTAGCAGAAGAATTCCATTCCTGGAATCTCATAGACAACAAATAAAAGATAAAATCCCAGATTGGAAATAGGACAAGAATTTCCAAGGCAGTAGTGAGATGAAGCCTATGGTTTTCCTTTACAAGGTACTTCCTTTCTACAGTTTTCTGAAAAATGACTACTAATTTGTCACTGGTTTCACACTTAAACATTATTACCTTGCCTTGGGTTTGCGGCAGTAATTCTAATCAGAGGCTTTTACTAGCAATCAGAAACAAGGAGTTGGATGGCTTGTTCATTATTATGGCCAAATTGTGATCTGATTAAAGGTATTTGATGGATGCATGCTAAAGAATCTTTAATAATTTTTTTTTGTGTGTGAAATATCACATTTTGTGTATCTGGGGATAAATATTCTTCAGCACAGTTTGTATTCCTCCCTTGTTTATATATGAAAGTCTAAAGCTATTATCTTAGATTGACATTCAAGATAGCTCTAATTCTTCAGGCAGAAGAGTTGATGTGAGGTACTTTTATCTCAAGTATCTTATCAACTCAGTATTGTCCCAGAGAGAAAACCTCCATCCATTAGAGTTACCATTATTCTGACTGAAAACATTCCTGTTTCATTGGGAGGCTCTCCATCGTGGCTTTTTCAAGCCAACAAAAACATGGTTATAAGCCAACTCTAAAATAAATGGCAAAACAAGCAGTTCCAATAAAACTAACATTTACCAACCTGTGATTTAGTAATGAAAATATTGCTACCTGGTACATCATAGTTTTTGGTTGGGAAATTTCATTTTATTAAGCATAGTCCCATCAAAAACTTAACAGCAGATGAGAATATGCCTTCTGTCTATCCTCTCCTCCATACTTTTGAACCCAACTGGGTTTTGGTTTTTACTATGTTACTTAAAAGTTATCATAATTTGTGTACTGTATAAAACTAAGAAGGAATATATACACAAAGGAGTAAAATTTTTATTCCTGCTTTTCTACCCTGACAAAAAAACCATTTTTGTTTTGTCAAAAGAACCATTCTACAATTTTAATGCTCTCACTTTTTCTCAAGCTGATTAAAATTTATTACCTGAACTTGAGTCATATTTTTTCATAGTTTCACAATAAGAAAATCATACTCTTGACTGTTTCAATGCTTAGCCCAACTAACCTCCAGAATAATGCAATTAGGGACAGTGTAATTCTCAGGTTGCTGAGAACACAAACACAAGAGGTCTTCTGGAGAGGCAATACTGTGTAGTGGTTACAAGAGAACATTACCTCATTTAATTTTATGTCAAGTTCATAGCACAATGCCTGGCACATAGTAAGATCTAAATAAATATTAGTTATTATTATCATTTCTGAAGATAAAATCACCTACTTTTGGCAACTTTTAACACTGCTTTTTAATCTATGAACACAGACATGATGTTGATGTAAATCATCCTATGTCCTGGACCCTGTGATTCTTTATTTGGGTGTCATACTGAAATCATATGAACAAAAGTTTTAGTAATGGTACTAATTACTAATGTGGGCAAAGAATTCTATACCCAACATGTTTACTAGTATACAAGGTAATGATAAGAGAATATTTGAGTAAAAATAAAAAGGAAATAAATACTTTAAGATAACTTGAAATATAAAATCACTGTTAAAATAAAATGGAAAGGAAAAAAGCTCCAAGGTTTTCACAGCATTGTTAGGTCATTATAATCGGCTAGGAGAGAAAAAATAGGTAAAATACTAGGTGTATCAAGTTAATTTGCAGATTTTAACAAGGAGCTTAGTACTTGAATATTCTTGGCTAAAGAAATTGAATATTCTTGGCTAAAGAAATACCCTTTTCTACTTGGGAATGTTAATGGGTTTGGGAGGGACACAGAGAGGTAAGGCAAGAAGGTGTTATCTCACTAGCTAGTTATAGCAATGAAATAACCTGAGGATCAGTGAAATGACACTGACACGACAGCTAGATTTTCCTTTTATCCAGTTAACTTTGATCTTTAAAATCATATTTGAAATTGTGTTTTTAGGCCACTCCCAGTTTGATGAATATATAGATGAGCCATAAGGGAGAATGCATGAATAAAACATGAAATCAAAAGTTAACAATTATTTTGAATAAAAACTTGCCTAACTTTGACCCTTACTTCCTGAGAGGGGTCTGTCACTGAAGAACTCACTGCCAAGATTTGGAAATCTAGGTAGACCTCAAAAGTCTGTCTCCAACTCTTACTACAAGTTCAATTTGGTTGTTGCGATTAGACTTAGCTGAATTTAGGAAGAGGTTGTAAGGGATCACCACTATGTTCTTGAGGAAGTGCTACTTATGCTCTTTTAAGCTTTTTTAGCCATTCTTAGTTAGCTACTTTAAGATAGAAACCTGTAAAGAAAATTATTTTGAGGATCATTTGGCATTTGGGTCTCTTGTAACCAAGTAGATGACTTCTTTCATCTCAAAGATACTTACTGAACAACTATAGGGTGTTCAATCAGCAATGTGCTAGATACTGTGGAATAACCAGAAAGTTTGATTCATTCTTTACTCTTAAGTTTATTTCTTTGGGTAGGAGAGGTTGCTGAAAAAAACCAAACAATCTTATCTATGACCCTATTGATAATAATTTGTGTTTAGGATTTCAAATCTCTCTGAGGCCTACGAATTTTTTACATTTGGCTGTGAGCTAGTTTTTCCCATGTCAGGTTGACTAGATATTCAGCTCAAATAATAAATGCAATGAATCCAATAAGAAATACTAAAAACACATTGAATTGAGAAAGTTTATTTACTCTTTTAGCTGTGCTAGTAATCAAATAGATTTTTATTGCCATATGCAAATTGGAATGAAATTAATTCATCAGTATAATTCAAATAAGTCACACTTTCTTTTCCAACAAGAGACAGATGAATAAGCCATGTGATAATAATGAGCCTTTCAGGGATTTTGATTTACTTGTTTTACTTTTTATTTAAGCATCTATATTCAAGAATTTTCATGTAAACTATTCATACTGCATCCATTAGATCACTTAGACTTGACTGAAAAACTGAAAATGCCATTATGATGTTGTTTTTTCTTTAAATTCCTCCCATATTTTATGACAGCTGCAAAGAAATTTTAGTGGCTTCATTTATGTGATGATTTTGTGATGTTACTTGTGTTAACAGGCTATTTCACTTTTTCTATTTCACATCAAAATATCTGTGAACTTAGAAGCATTTAATATTGTTTATAATAGTAACTCATGTTTTCTTTAGGTGATAATTCAGGATGACAGCCCTGAAAAATTGGATCCCAAATATTTTGGAGAATTGCTTGCTGATCTAAGCCGCAAAAATATGGATCTATATCACTGTTTATTAGAACATTTGCAGAGAATTGGAGGAAGGTACTATAAGCATATCATTTGCCTTGACGTCGTAGCTTTCAAAAACTTTACAATACCCTGGTATTTTTCAATAGATTTTATTTTTTAGAGCAACTTTAGGTTCACAGCAAAACTTGAGTACTTTTAATGGTGAAACAAGATAATTATACGAGCAGTTCAGTCGCTCAGTCGTGTCTGACTCTTTGCAACTCCATGGACTGCAGCGCGCCAGGCCTCTCTGTCCATTACCAACTCCCGGAGCTTGTTCAAACTCCTGTCCATCGAGTCGGTGCTGCCATCTAGCCATCTCATCCTCTGTCATCCCCTTCTCCTCCTGCCTTCAGCCTTTCCCAGCATCAGGGTCTTTTCTAATGAGTCAGTTCTTCGCATCATGTGGCTAAAGTATTGGAGTTTCAGCTTCAGCATCAGTCCTTCTAATGAACATTCAGGACTGATTTCCTATAAGATTGACTGGTTTGATCTCTTTGCAGTCCAAAGGACTCTCAAGAGTCTTCTCCACCATCACAGTTCAAAAGCATCGATTCTTTGGCACTCAGCTTTCTTTATATGAGCAGATATCAGGAAATACCTCATTTTAAGAGTTAATGGACTTTATGAAAATCATTGAAGAGATCATACTAGCTCTTTTAGGGTCAAAAGAGAATTAAATGGACCTTCTTTTCTAATGTACTTTGATGTCAAATGCAATCACTTGGGCAAGGAGCTCAAAAAATGCATGGCATACTATGATATTTTAAGATATTACACTGATGATATAAGATACAATCCAATTGCTAACACACTACTGTTTATCTTCCATTGATGTGTGCTTAACATATGAAGACCAGAGTTTAATATACATTTAGGATTATACATTCTTATACATATTACATATTATTTTAAAATTATATATAAATATACAAATATTTATTTATAAATTTATATTATAACATGATATTATACAATAATACATATTTAGGTATATAAACATGAACAGTTTATCAACTGTTCATGTGTAGATGAGAGCATATTATGTCAGGAAATAAATTTCATGAACTATATTCCAAAAGTTGCCTTTACTACATAATCACATCGTATATGTGGTCATCTGTCAGGCAAAACTTAGGAAAGCTTCATGAATTCCAAAAAAACCTGGAGGATTAAAGTCAGTAGAATTTTCTTCTAGTTCAGACTTCACCAACTTTAGGTTCTTCTACTTAGAAATCTTTAATCTCTTCTTTATCTCATTTCTTTCTACTTATTACAACTGTTTTATTAGCTTTCTCCTCCCCAACTTTTCTTGCTTTTGTATTCATGATGGCAACCGTTCTCTTAACCCTCACCCTCAACTGCCTTGCCTCTTTATTGTATTGTCCCCCCCCCCCCCCCCCCAGCAAAATTCCAACTCTGGATAGTCTAGTTCTCTGCCTTATCTATTGTTTTCTTTTTTCCTCCATTCAGTACTCATTGCCCACTACTCATTCAGACACTACCTCATGAGGGGTGTTTTATTTACCCTTGTTTCCTTGGTGCTTAGTGTGATGACTGGTTTACCATGGCACTTAATAAATATTTGTTGAATGAATAAATGAATGAATGCTTTCTTTATGCTACATCCATGCAGTTGAGCACAGTTAGAGACAAGCACAGCTATTTATTTAAATTGGAGTCATTATTGGTTTCCATCTTTAGCTAAGTTCAACAAGGTTTTATGCTAATAAATATCCTCTCACTTTATCCAAACAATTATTTCACACATTCATTCATTTGCATAAGGCCACTACCTTAAAAACTTCCCCCTCATTCTGAATAGTCTATTGAGTGTTCACTGTTGTGCCAGACACTGTGCTAAGTGCTTTTTAAATATTAACTAGTTTGCACAGTAAGCACAGAAAGTTTAAAATTGAACTCCCAAAGAGAATAAGTTATTAAAATCACATAGCTATTAAGTGCCTGAGATGGATTCCAACATTTTGAGTACTCTTATACCTATAAGCCATGACTTGGCTTTTCTGCAAAGCCTTCCCTAGATACTGTTTGGTCTAGGTGTTCCTCTTCTGTGTATTAATCATGCCCTGTGAATATTTCTGTTAAAGTGTCACATTGTGAAGTCAACAGTAGATAGAGACATTCTTAAGTACCCTGCTTGTAGATCTAGGGTTCATATCCTGGTTTCATGTCCCAGCTTTTGTTACATACTAGATGTGTAGTATCAGGCAACTTGTTTAACCTCTCTGTATAGTTTCTTCATATGTAAAATAGGGATTATATAATAATAATACTCATTTCATAGATTTGTTATAAGCCATAAATGATTTATATAAGACATGTGCTTAGAAGCAACAAGAGCATCATGTGAGAACTTGGAAATTGACCTACAGAATAAAGAACTCTGGGGTAAGGCCAAGTAACAAGCCCTCCAGAGGCTTCTGATACATACTCAGGTTTGAGAATCACTGACCTAAGACTACAAAAGTGACAAAATCTGGGACGGACTAGAACATATGGGAGAACTATTTACCTTAGGCAAATCACTTTTATACTAGATATGTGTCTCTAAATTGTTAAATATATTGCAGACAGCTTAAAGAAATTATCAACTTTTTGAATCATCAAATTTGAAAAGATTCCAGGATTTAGACCAATTTTACACTGCTCAAATTTTGCATTAGATCAGTTTTGTTTTTTGTGAAGGATAGGACAAGTTAATATTTGTGTTTAGATTGTCCAAAACCCATTCAGGGGTCATGGCCTTGACAAAGTTGCTACTCAATAAAGGCTTATAGAATGAGAGATAAATAATTTCCAAATTTATTAGCCTCATACTAATTAGAAGTAGACAAAATAACTGAGCAAGCAAGTTAAATATTTTATAATGATCATCCAGCTAAAAGTATAATCTGGGGTTTTGAAACAACTTCTTCTCATTGAGGGTTTTGATAAATATACATGGGTGACCTAAATTCAAAACATTGAATTTAATTTCTAGAGTAGCTAAAATATCAAAAAGAAAATAGAAAGTTAGTGTCTCCACATTAGTAAACACCCCAGAGTAGAGAGGATTTCATAAAATTTGGGGGCTTAAGAGTGTCTGCTTGTCAGAAGGTTGTCAGTTTCTTTCTCTTCATTCCTTCCCCTCCTTTCATCCTCTTCTCTCCTTTGTTTTTTCTTTATTAGATTCCATCCATCCTAGGAGATGAGATGACATACAATGAGTGCCACTTTTTTTTTTTTGCCCACTATAATTCTAGCCACTATTATCTTGTACTGAATGGAAATGTAATACACATTTGACCTTTCTACCTCCCTGCTCTGTTCTCTTTGTTTCCACTCTCTCTCTCTCTCTCACCCCTTTGGTCTCCAATTTTCTTCTCTTTCTAAATTGCAATTCAGCAATGAGTAAGCTGAAGGGTCAGGATAAAGAAAGGTTATCTTATGAAACCATTTTGGTTGCATTTGTAAATTTCAGTATTAATTGCTGTTGATTGTTCCTTGTTTTGTTTCTTTGTTTTGTTTTCTTATTTGTAGTAAGAAGTGACTAGAGACATGTATACTAAGTTGGCATTGGAATTATAGTTTTAAACATAAAAGGTTTGTGATAATTCCAGTTAGCATTGTGATTCATATTTTAACTTGTTTAATCTTCCATATGCACGCAGCTGCTTTAGTAACACATTAAAAAAAGTAGAAGGGCTTCCCTGAGAGCTCAGATGGTAAAGAATCTGTCTATAATACAGGAGACCTGGGTTCGATTCCTGGCTTGGGAAGACCCCCTGGAGAAGGGAATGGCTACTCACTCCAGTATTCTTGCCTCGAGAATCCCATGGACAGAGGAGCCTGACAGGCTACAGCCCATGGGGTCACAAAGATTCGGACATGACTGAGAGATTAACACAACACAACAACAACAAATAAGTAGAAGATATTTCATTTTTTTCACTAGGGCCTCCCCACAATTTCTATTTTGGCCACCCAGGAAATATCACATACATATACATAGACAGTTTTGTACATGTACAATCCACACATAGGCAGTCATGCCTTGGGAAATTAAATCTTCAGTTCTCATTCTCCACTTAGCTTATGTATTTTTATAAATGCATGCAAGAGGCTTTGCACAGTGAATGATTCACTTACCTTTGTAAGGAATACTCATAAACACATAGAAGGTAAAGGTAGGAGCTAACATGCTAGCTTATATCTCTAAAATACTTTTCTATTGTACTTGACAATATGGCAGTTGTATATCTATGATTTCTTAAGATTGTCTTATTTTAAAATGTTTTGTTTTGCTGTCAGAACGTGTATACTTGTTTGTTTGTTTGTTTGAGATGTATGTTCACCATATGTATTTTGGGTCCAACTTTTCCACTAAGGGGAGAAGGAACAAGTAGGCAAGAATAAGGTCTTGTCTGTTGCCACTGACAATGCTAGAACTATATCCTCCCCAGCTTTCACCATTTCCCCAAGAAGCCAGTGCTAGACTGCTATAACCACTAATAATCATCTTGCAGCATTTGTCTACCTCACATGGTTCCACAAAGGGCCTTCCAATACTCATGGACAAACCCTCATTTTGATCATGGAAATTCTATTATTTCACTAAAATTTTGGTCATGTTGCTTAAGGCTATGTCCCTATATAAGCATTTGAATATCTTTTAAGCTTTGTCACTGATATATATATATATATATATATATATATATATATATATACACACTGTAGTATAGATTGAATGAGTTAGTCTTGCAAGTTTTGGTTTTGCTTAAAATGGTATGAATAGCTTCAAGACACTGTAGGGAAAAGCTGAAATCAGCATTGAAAGGGAGCAATACAAGGAGAAGAAGAGTTGGAAATAGAGAATGACTATTATTGTTATTGTTCACTCAGATGTTATTTGTTGTCAAACACTGAAGACTTCTACATCTAGTCACAAATAGACTTGTTTAATGGATGGTACTAACTAATTCTGCATGTTCTATTGGGTTGTTACTGTTTATATTTAATAGATTAGCTAATTCCATGAAAGTTACCTTTATTTTTGTCAAGTGTCATTTTAGTTAGTTTTAATTTTTTCATTTGGGTTATAAATTTCATTTGGATATATTATATCAAAAAGTAAGATAAAATATTTAGAACACTAACATTTATATATGATCAATGTATATATTTTCCTAAGATTGTCTGTTTTTTATTAATTCTTGCAGCAAACAGGACTTTGAGTCTGTAGATGAGGTAAGTGCTAAAAGAGTTGAAAATCAAATATAGTTGATAACAAAGCAGATTCTGATATTTGCACTAAAAATATCGTTTTAATTTGGTATCTTTATTAGACTGGACACATAGGTTAGTGAAAGATACAACGATCCTTTTGCCTTTGAAATGATATAAACATTTATATTTTTGTAATGGCTGTAAAGGTGATAATTGTTAAAAATAATAATCATTCACACACAAAAAATGTTTTATCAGCTGTCACCTTATGATTTGTCTTTCCTTATGAGAACATTTAAAAATTCATTGACTACATACTCCCTGTTTTAGAAAATTGAAATCTACATTAACTAAATTTTAATTTTAGTAAAAAACTAAACTTTTTTAACGAAAAAATTACTTCAAGTCACTGACTACTCTTGCCAAATAACCAGCGACTTGAAGTAAATTTTTTCAAGTATAAATTCTATTATATACATACATCCAGTTAATAATTACTTTTAATGGAATAAGTCATCAAATAGAGAAGAAACTGATTTCAATGTAATGAAAAGCACAATGGCTACTTTTGTGTTAATTTTCATCCTTATTTCCAGTGTATTGATAAACTGCATTCGTTACAATAATTCAGTAGCCCTAAATTGCTTTTATGAAGTACTGACTTCAATTTAGCCTCTCACTTAAAATTTGTTGAAGCTTCTTAATGTTGTTATGGCAACATCATAACTTTTCAAAAGATTATGCAAAATTCATGTAATTTGCAAATTCTCAATAAAACTTTGATTTTATTTCCACAAATTTTTATTATTTAAAAAAATCCACCTCTAAAATGTTATACCACCCAACAAAACTTCTAGTTGTTGAAAGATACACTGGAATAAAGTGTTAATGGGATTTAAGTGACCACACTTTTGTTTTTAAGTTACTCTTTTAAAAAATAGAAATGGATCATCTGATTGATTGCCCCAAACTTTCCTCTAAAATCCCTGGAATGCAGAGTTCTTTTCGTGGTGTATGTAGCACCATCAATGTTTTACAAGTAAGAACTGATAAGGCTACTAAAGCTTGTAGGAACTATTGCCTAAAAAGTGAAGTAATCTTTTGATGTCTCTAAAACTAGGTCCCTCTCTTTGAAAGTCTGTGGATTGCTGATCCTATAATTAAAACACTAATGTGTATCTGTTAAAGGATAAGCCTCTCTTTTCTTACAGTCAGAAGACATTGAATCATTGATTCCAAAAGGATTGTCAGAATTTACAAGACAGCAAATTCGCTATATTCTGCAGGTGAGATGGGATGAAGAGTGGCTGTGAATTCACAACTAAAACACCCCTAGCCTAGGATGTTTCCTTTAATTAATAACAGAAATATTTAAATAAAAAGCCTGTTTCATAAGAGTTGATTACATTTTGATTAAACAAGGGCTGAATTATAGTTTGGTCAGACTATCAAAGACTAGTCTTGAGTGACTAACATTCAGGAAATTGTTATCGAAATATTCCCGTGGAATGCCCTTATTCTTTCCTCGCTGCTGTGGCACAGCCTGACTCTAATTTACAGACTTTGCCCTCCTCTTCTCCATTCTACTTTCTATACCTCCCTACCCTACCCCTGGCAGGTGGAAAGGTCATTGCATTGATTTTCCTGAATTGTGAAAAGTTAGAGACCACTGCAGCAATAAATTCCCCTACACTAAAAGGGAGAGACAGATCAAGATAAATCAAAATAGGTGCTAAAGAAATACAGCTAAAAAGAAGAGTGCATGTGTTTGCAAGAAAAGATTCTAAAGATAATTTAGTTTTGTCCAGTGAGGCGAATTTCTAAGTTTGATATTTGATCTCAAGCCTTTATTGATCATTCAGATATTGGACCTGGCATCTTATCTGTGCAACTTAAGTGAAATACAAGTGTGTATTATAAACAGACAGTGGTATAGGGAATGCATATGCTAAGCAGAATCTGAATCTTAGCTATATCCTTGATATTATTTCTGGTGGAACGAGGTCCATCCAAAGTGTAATGAAGACCTGTTTCCTTGAAAAACTGAGAATGTTTGCATCTAAGTTCCTGAGAGACATTAGTCTGTAGTGTTGGTTTTTTGTTTTTTTTTTTTTTGTATTCTCTTTGATTTTGCTGTCAAGATAATCTAGCTTCATGAAATGAATTGGGAAATGTCTCTTCCTTTTCTATTTTCTGGAAGAAACTGTATAAGGAGTGTTTTTAAGTATTCTTGAAATATTTGGCATAATCCTTCAGTGAAAAAATCTGGGCATGGATGACATGGATGTATATGTTTTTAGTTTAAAAAATTCTAAATTCAATTCCTTAGTAGTTATAGGTCTATTCAAATGATCTGTTTCATATTGGGTGAGTAGTGATAGCCCGTGTTTCTCAAGGAAGTAGTCCATTTCATTTAAATTGTCAAATTTTTATGTGTATAATTATTCATAGTATTTCCTGACTATCCTTTTGACATCTGCAGGGTCTGTTTTACTCTCCCCTATTTAATTTCTGATACTAGTGATTTGTGTCTTCTGTTTTTTTTTTTTTGTCAGTTTTGTTGGAGGTTTATCAATTTCATTGATTTTTTTCAAAGAACTATATTTTAGTTTTATTGATCTCTATTTTTTCTGTTTATATTTCCATTGATTTTTTTTTGCTCTTATCTATATTATTTCCTTCCTTTGCTTGCTTTTGTTTATTTTGCTTTTCTTTGTCTAGTGTCCTGATATGGGAATTTAGATGATTGATTTCACACCTTTTCTATTTTCTAATGTAAGCATTTAGTGCTATAAATATCCTCTCAGGATGGCTTTAGTGTGTCTCACAAGTTATGATGTGTATTTTCATTTTCATTCAATTGTATGTATTTTTTATCTCCCTTTGACATCTGTGTTGAATGGTGAAGTATTAATGTTTAGAAGTGTATTGTTTTAGTTTCCAAGTGTGTAGAGATTTTCCTATTGTCATTCTTTTATTCATTTCTAATTTGATTCCACAATGGTCAGAAAATATACTTGATATGAGATCAATTTTCCTGAAATGGTTAAGTTTAGCTTTATAGTCAAGGATGCAGTCTATTTTGGTACATGTTCCATGAGAACATGAAAGGAACATGTATGTGTTGTTGGATAAAGTATTCTGTAAATGCTGATTACATCCTTTGGTTGATGATATTGTTGAATTATTATATACTCTTGCTCATTTTCTGCTAAGTAGTTCTATCAGACTGAGAAAGGAGTGTAAAAGTGTTTAGTTATAGCTGTGGATTTATCTGTTTCTCCTTTCAGTTCTATCAGTTTTTGTTTGATACGTTTTGCAGCTCTGTTGTCTGGTGCATAGACATTTAGGATTGCTATGTCTTCTTGATGGATTGACTCTTATTCTGTAATGTCCCTCTGTATACCTGGTGATTTTCTTTGCTCTAAAATCATTTTTATCTAATGTCAATATAGCCCTCCTGCTTTCTTTTAAGGCTTGCATGGTATATCTTTTATTTTCATTATATATATTTCAATTTTCATTATCTTTGAAAATGAGTTTCTTGTAGAAAACACATAGTTAGATTATATTTTTTCTTATCACTCTGTCAAGTCAATATCTGTCTTTTAACTGGTGTATTTAGATCAAGTTGTAATTATTGGTATGTTAGGGCTAGACCTGCAATTGTGTTTTCCGTTCATTCTGTCTTTTGTTTCTTTGTTTTCTTTGTTTTGCTTTCATGTGGATTACTTAAATGTATTTTAGAATTCCATTTTGATTGATCTCTAGTGCTTTTGAGTGTGTCATTTTGAAAAACTTTTTTAGTGGTCACTATAACAACACAAGAGAACACTACACAGGGACATCAGCAGATGGTCAACACTGAAATCAGATTGATTATATTCTTTGCAGCCAAAGATGGAGAAGCTCTATACAGTCAGCAAAAATAAGCCCGGGAGCTGACTGTGGCTCAGATCATGAACTCCTTATTGGCAAATTCAGACTTAAATTGAAGAAAGTAGGGAAAACCACTAGACCATTCAGGTATGACCTAAACCAAATCCCTTATACCTATACAGTGGAAGTGAGAAATAGATTTAAGGGACTAGATCTGATAGACAGAGTGCCTGATGAACTATGCACGGAGGTTCATGACATTGTATAGGAGACAGGGATCAAGACCATCGCCATGGAAAAGGAATGCAAAAAGGCAAAATGGTTGTCTGAGGATGCCTTACAAATAGCTGTGAAAAGAAGAGAAGCGAAAAGCAAAGGAGAAAGGGAAAGATATTCCCATTTGAATGCAGAGTTCCAGAGAATAGCAAGGAGAGATAAGAAAGCCTTCCTCAACAATCAATTTAAAGAAATAGAGGAAAGCAACAGAGTGGGAAAGACGAGAGATCTCTTCAAGAAATTAGAGATACCAAGGGAACATTTCATACAAAGATGAGGTTGATAAAGGTACGATAAAGGAAATGCTACAGACCTAACAGAAGCAGAAGATATTAAGAAGAGGTGGCAAGAATACACAGAAAAACTGTACAAAAAAGATCTTCATGACCCAGATAATCATTACGCTGTGATCACTCACCTAGAGCCAGACATCCTGGAATGTGACGTCAAGTGGACATTAGAAAGCATCACTACGAACAAAGCTAGTGGAGGTGATGGAATTCCAGTTGAGCTATTTCAGATCCTAAAAGATGATGCTGCACTCAGTATGCCAGCAAATTTGGAAAACTCAGCAGGGGCAACAGGACTGGAAAAGGTCAGTTTTCATTCCAATCCCAAAGAAAGGCAATGCCAAAGAATGCTCAAACTACCACACAATTGCTCTCATGTCACACGCTAGTAAAGTAATGCTCAAATTCTCCAAGCCAGGCTTCAGCAATATGTGAACCGTGAACTTCCAGATGTTCAAGCTGGTTTTTAGAAAAGGCAGAGGAACCAGAGATCAAATTGCCAACATCCACTGTATCATCAAAAAAGCAAGAGAGTTCCAGAGAAACATCTATTTCTGTTTTATTGACTATACCAAAGCCTTTGACTGTGTGGATCACAAGAAACTGTGGAAAATTCTGAAAGAGATGGGAATACCAGACCACCTGACCTGCCTCTTGAGAAACCTATATGCAGGTCAGGAAGCAACAGTTAGGTTAGAACTGGACATGGAGCAACAGACTGGTTCCAAATAGGGAAAGGAGTACATCAAGGCTGTATATTGTCACTCTGCTTACTCAACTTATGTGCAGAGTAGATCACGAGAAATGCTGGGCTGGAAGAAGCACAAGCTGGAATCAAGATTGCTGGGAGAAATATCAATAACCTCAGATATGCAGATGACACCACCCTTATGGCAGAAAGTGAAGAGGAACTAAAAAGCCTCTTGATGAAAGTGAAAGAGGAGAGTGAAAAAGTTGGCTTAAAGCTCAATATTCATCATGTCATCTGGTCCCATCACTTCATGGGAAATAGATGGGGAAACAGTGGGAACAGTGGCTGACTTTATTTTGGGGGGTTCCAAAATCACTGCAGGTGGTGATTGCAGCCATGAAATTAAAAGACGCTTACTCTTTGGAAGGAAAGTTATGACCAACATAGACAGAATATTAAAAAGCAGAGACGTTACTTTGCCAACAAAGGTCCATCTAGTCAAGGCTATGGTTTTTCCAGTGGTCATGTATGGATGTGAGAGTTGGACTATGAAGAAAGCTGAGTGCCGAAAAATTGCTGCTTTTGAACTGTGATGTTGGAGAAGACTCTTGAGAGTCCCTTGGACTGCAAGGGTATCCAACCAGTCCATCCTAAAGGAGATCAATTCTGGGTGTTCATTGGAAGGACACATGCTGAAGCTGAAACTCCAATACTTTGGTCACCTGATGTGAAGAGTTGACTCATTGGAAAAGACCCTGATGCTGGGAGGGATTGGAGGCAGGAGGAGAAGGGGACAACAGAGGATGAGATGGCTGGATAGCTTCACTGACTCAATGGACATGAGTTTGAGTAGACTCGGGAGTTGGTGATGGACAGGGAGGCCTGGTGTGCTGTGATTCATGGGGTCGCAAATAGTCGGATATGACTGAGCGACTGAACTGAACTAATATTGTATATCCATAACTTATCACCATGTATTAGTGTCAACATTTTATTGGTATCAGTTAACTACAAAAAATTTTTCTTCTTTAATCCCTGTTTTAGCCTCCATATTTATGACCTTTAAAATATTTCCTCTAAGTACATTGAGATGTTGTACTTTGAAATGTCTGACGTCAGAAAACATTATAATTTTTATGGCTTGAATCATCAAATTTAATTTAGAAAATGCAAAAAGAGAAGGAAATCCTACTGTATTTACCTATATTTTTGCTTACTGTATTACTTCTTCCTTCTTGATAGTCCAAGTGAATGAAAGTTACTCAGTCGTGTCTGACTCTTTGCAGCCCCATGGACTGTAGCCTGCCAGGTTCCTCAGTCCATGGAATTCTCCAGGCCAGAATACTGGAGTGCGTAGCTGTTCCCTTCTCCAGGGGGTCTTTCCAACCCAGGGATCGAACCCAGGTCTCCAGCCTTGCAGGTGGATTCTTTGCCTTCTGAGCCACCGGGTTTCAAATTCCTTCTATCTTTTCCTTTCTCTTCAGAAAACTTCCTTCAGTCATTCTTTTAGTGTAGGTCTGCTAGTGAAAATTTTTTTCTTTTCATCTAAAACTGTGATTTCCCCCTCATTCCTAAAGGCTTTTTTTTTTCTTTCAATTGGATACAGAATTTGTAGTTGACAATTCTCTTGTTTCATCACTTAAAATATATTCTGGCTTCTATGGTTTCTCTTGAGAAATCGACTGTCATTGGAATTGCTGTTCCCAATAGTTAAGGTTTCTTTTGCTGGTTTTAAGATTTTAAATTTATCTTCAGTTTTAAAAAGTTTGGCTGATATGTCCGGGCATGGATTTCTTTGGATTTATCCTGCTTGAGGTTTTCTCAACTTCTTGAATGTGTATGTTTGTTTTTTTGCTAATTTGGAGGTGTTTTCAGCCATTATTTTTTCATATACTTTTTCAGCTCCACCTTCTTTCTTTTCCTCTTCTACAATTCTGATGACATGAATGTTAGATATATGTTACGTTCCCAATGGACACTGAGGCTCTGTTTAATCTTCTAATCTATTCTCTCTCTGATGTTCAGAATTAAGTATCTTTTTGTTGTTCTATCTTGAAGTTCACTTATTCTTTGCTCTGTCCTTTCCATTCTGCTTTTTAGTCCATCCATTGAGCTTTCTTTCTTTTTCTTTTATTTAAGTTATTGCCCTTTTAGGTTCTAAAATTTCCATTTAGCTACTCTTTGTTTTCTCAGATTTTCATTTGTGTTGCTGAGAATTTCTATTTTTTGCTATAAATATTTGCAATTTCTTATTGAAACATTTTTAAGATGGCTATTTTAAAATCCTTGTCAGATAATTCAAACATTTTTGGTATCTTGATGTTGGCATGTATTAACTCTTTTTTATCAAGTTGAGATTTTCCTGTTCTAAGAATAAGTGGTTTTTTTATTGAAACCTGGACATTTTGAGTATTATGTTATGACTTTTTATTTTGCTCAAATCTTCTTTTGTAGCAGGCCTCCTCTGATACTGAGCAACAGAGGAAGTGGGGCGACTGCTTATTACTGCCAGGTGGGGATGAAAGTCCAGGTTCCCTACTCTGCTTTTGTTGACACTGCTTGGGGGAGTATCTCATTGTTCTTCCTGGGTGGGGGTAAGGAATTGTAGATCCCTACTGATAACATCCTGGTTTGGATGGGAAAGAGTGTTGTGGTAATGTTCCCCTCTTGGCATCTACAGATAGTGTAAGGTAAGTAGCTTCATTTCTGTTGGACAATGATGAAAGTCTTGACTCTTCGCTAAGAATTCACTAATTCCAATTAGGTGACTAAGCAGAGAGATTGAAGGAGAGATAGTCTAATTCCCCTTCTTGGCTTTTGATGGTTTGGGTAGAGTAGAATATAGTTGCATTTTTTTCTGTGATGTTTGGCTGGAGTAGAGTGGTTATTATCTAAATGCTATCTGCCTTGCTAGGCTGCCCTTTTTATGGCCCTTTGGCTAGAGAGAGCAGGCTTTTCTAGGGACTTTTGTTGTCCATATCTCTGGTGTTTCTGGGTTACTGATTTCCTCAACATCACGCTGATAAGCAAAAAAAAGCCTAGGAAATCACTTCTGTATTTTTCCTTAGCTCCCAATGTTCGAAACCAGACCATTATTTTTTTTCACCTTTCAGAGTCTTTTTATGTATGTTTTATACATAAATTCCAGGGCTTTCATTTATACTTAGCAAGAAGAATAGAGAAAAGTATTTCTGCTCCATCTATTCAGAAACAGAAGTTGCCTGTTTTAAAATCATTTTTTATTTGAAGAAATGAGTTTAACCTAGTGAAAGGATTTTTCTCCCTCTTTAAAATTTGAGATATTTTTATACTTCAAGCTTAAACTTAATTTGTATTATACTGTTCTCAACTCAGCCAAAACCCATACATACATTTGGCAGCACACTTAGGGAGATGCAATTTATTATTTGAAGATTGATTGTCTCATCTTTTGTAATCTTTAGAGAAAAAAAGTAAATTTGAGAATTTGCTGATATATTTCTATCATGAAAAAGGTGATACTTTATCATGGGAAAAAAGAGGCCCTTTTTCAAATAACATAGCTATGATCTCTTCAGGAATATTCCTTGGATTACTTATGCATGTTATTGACCAAATGCCCTGCATCATTATTCTAATATTGCCATATTAAAAATGAAGTTGTGAATAAGTTTGATTGTAGAGCAGAAAAATTAGAGCATTATTACTTACATTGCTTGTTTTAAATGCTAGTAAAAATAAACCATCAATCATTTTCTTCCCCCAGATGAGGGATATGTCTGATAAATCTCTCCGACTAGTGCTCTCCACATTCAGCAACATACGGGAAGAGCTTGGACATCTTCAGAATGACTTGACAGTAACATTTATTTTGATTTTTCTTTCCAAAGATTTTCTAGTTCTTAGCTTCCTAACATACAAATGAAAGCATTCAGTCTGCCTTTTAAAAATTTGATACAGTAATATTGTGCTCACCCAGATATAGTTATTTTCTTGCAACAGTTAATTGGGGTTGGAGGAGAGAAGTAAAGAGCTGCCAGTGTGAAAATGAAAGAAACTTGGGTGCACACTTATTATTTAGTTTACCACTAAGGTAATTTAATGCTTAAAGCCAGGGAGTAGTTTGTAAAATTAGAATAATCTGACTCATTGATTAGGAACTTCCCCTTTTCTGTAATAATAAAGCGTACTTTGAATTTTTTTGAATGCTTGAAAACTTCTATCTCTAAGAACTAATATTTTCTGATTTCTATTTTAATTGGTGTTCTTCATGACATTAGCTAGATACATTCAGAAGACTTTCCATACAGTGAATTACTCCTTGAGAACTTTGGAGTGGGTTTTTTATTTCTGGCTTCTGATGAATTCATTCAGACTCTTAATTTGAAAATTCACAACCTGCTGGGATTAACAGGGAGTTTTTGTGGATGTAAGAAAAAACGTTAAATAATTCAGAAGGTTCTGCTTTATTGCACTTAGGCCTCATCAATTCATCAAAATGTCTATCATGCAGGTTTTTAAAGTTTCAATCATTTTGTATCCCATATTTTGATCAGCTTTTAAAATTCTGTTTTACTAAACAATTGCAAATGAAATAAGTGCTTATTTAAACATTTCAATGTAAATAGACCTTTGTATTATGTAACTGTTGACAAATTTCTATAATTCTGAATCATAACAAATAATTTTGGTTCTAGTCACTGGAAAATGATAAGGTAAGACTTGAGAAAGACTTGGCATTCAAAGAAACTCAAATTAAAGAGTATGAAGAACTCTTGGCATCAGTGAGAGCTGATAATCGCCAACAGCAGGTAAATTGATATTTTCATTGATAATAAATTAAATTGATAGTTTTTCATATGCACATTGGAGTTATGAGATACAATCCAGACAATTAAAATATGATGGAATAATTTGTTCGTATGGGAATTGAGAGGCCTTGGGTATCTCCAGTTACTGAAGCCCTCTCAGAAAAATATATGGATTTAAATATATTTATATATATATAAATATATATCTTAAGTATTTTAGATATGAAGTATAAACAATTCACAATTTTCTATTTTGTTGGGTGACAAAAATTATATAAATATTGAATATTTAATTTCACTCACTGATTTGGTCTACTAGTGTGTTACTAAAAAGGTTTTTGTAGATCTTAACACATGTTTGTGCAATGAGTAATTGAATGAATGAACTCTAAAAGTTTTCTACGGTCATCTGAGCAGAGATGATTCTTAGGAAATCATAATAAATCTCTGAGGTTGATCCATTCCTAAAATTTGCTCCTGTGACAATCCCAAATTTTGGTTGAGTTTCCAGTTGTTACATAATCAGGCATAGGGTTATTTTGGTGCCTACCAGAAGGTAGGTTATCATATTGCCAAGGAGTAGCAAGAGTTTGCAAAATTGGTACGCTGAAAATTCATCTAGTCTTGATTTCTTCTCACTCAAGAAGGTAAGTGAGAGTACTATCTTTCATAGCTGATTTAATTTACCATTTAAGGATAAATATATAAGCAAACTGGGCATGGAAAAATATTCCTTTTGTTTCATTGAATTAATCAACTAAAAGTACTCTCTCCTAAAAAGTAGAATCCATTTGTCTTATTTACTATGTATTCTTTACAGCAAGGACGTCAAGACTCAACCTCAAAATGCCAAGCATTGGAAGAAGACAATCTCTCTCTTCGGCATACGCTATCAGACATAGAATATAGACTAAAAGAACTGGAATACTGTAAGCGTAATTTAGAGCAAGAGAATAAAAATCTTAGAATGCAGGTATTCAAATTTTGTTTTAAGCATGTGCTATTGCCTTAATTATATCATTGGTTGTATATACATCTATGTGCTCTGTTAAGTTGCTACAGTTGTGTCTGACTCTTTGCGACTCTATAGACCATAGCCCCCCAGGCTCCTCTGTCCATGGGAGTCTCCAGGCAAGAATACTGGAGTGGATTGCCATGCCCTCCTCCAGGGGATCCTCCTGACCCAGGGATCGAACCTGTGTCTTTTAGTTTGCACTGGCAGGCAGGTTCTTTACTACTAGTGCCACCTGGGAAGCCCATATGTGTGTGTGTGTGTGTGTGTGTGTGTGTGTGTGTGTGTCTGCGTGTGTATCCAATTCAATGTGAGAAAATACATAGACTGCTTTCCCATGATTTTACATGAAGTTAAGTCTTAACTCACTGCCATTTCAGTTGTATAATGAACTTCCAAAAAATCCCTCTGATTATTTCAGTGTTTTGTTTAATTGTGTGTTTTTCATCTATTAATGTTTTCTAATATAATATGTATTTCCTTCATAACAGTCTAATTACAGAAAATGATTTTGCCTTGTGTAGGTTTCTGAGACTTGCACAGGCCCGATGCTGCAGGCTAAAATGGATGAGATTGGCAACCATTACATGGAGATGGTAAAAAACTTAAGAATGGAGAAAGATAGAGAGATCTGCAAACTAAGGGTATGTAGATCCTACACTGCATAAATATACAGGTATGCAAACTAAATTAAGGGAATGTAGATCCTACACTGCATAAATGTACAGGTCAGCACAGACTTTCTAATAAGATAATTTTATTTTCAAGTTTAAAGCTACAGAGAAAAATCAACTGAAGGTAGAGTAATAGGAGTCTGTTGTAGAACTTTTTGTTAAATACATATCATTGCGTAAAGAATATTGTTAAATTGTTTTGTAATTTAGCTTCATCTTTTCTAGGAAAGAAAAAAAAAGAAATTAAGTTGGGGTTGTTGGTTTTTTAATTTTTATTTAGTTATTTGGTGATGGGGGAGGGGGAACACTTTATGATCCTACCTGAAGCTTGCTCTATGCAGGCAAAAACAACTTTCAAGATTGTCCAGTGAAGCGACATTTGAATTCACAAAAATCTTTCTTTGACTTTGAGGGGTGATACGTAGCAAGAGCTTTGTCAAGTGCAAGGATAAAACTGTTGAATTATGTACTTGTAATTGGCATCAAAATCAAGGTGATATTTGTGAGAATAATTGTACATTGCCGTATTTTGTCATTCTAGGTCAAATTGACTAACCCTTAAATTACTGATACCTAATTATAGTTATATAACTCAAATATTTTAGTATAAAAACTGACCACAGAGTTTTTTTTTCCAAATATAATGTACAGTCTTTACCAAAAATCAAAATGAAACAAAATAAAATTTGTTCAAAGGGAAATCAACTTGCAGATTTCCTCCACTGGTTTCTTTTCCATCAGAATGTTACTAATAACACTTTAACCTAACAGTCATCTGTGCATACATAATGCAGTAAAGAAGGAAATGAACAGGATTTGGAGTCAGAAGACTTGTTATGGAGTTGCCCCTGTGTTGCTTATTAGCTGTTGCTCCTTTGTATCATTTAACATCTCTGGATCTCATTTACCTGTTTTGTAAATAAGGTTTATAATTTACCTGTTTTGTAAATAAGGTTTATAATAACACTTATCTCAGAGGGTTGCTGTGAGGATTGAGACAAGTTATGCAGGAGGAATATGTTGTTAAGTGCAAATCATGATATAATATTAGTTACCGAGTTTTCCTTAATTAGTATTTGAAAGAATATAAACTGCCTGTTTTCTTAGCTTTATTTTAATTCTGTTGCCTAGGATTTTTACTTACATAATGCCTAAGCCTAAATAGCAAAGTCACCTTTAAAAAGTGAGAAATTCCTAATTGGCATTTCAATTCATATTCAACATTCATAAAACTCCAAATGTTTATAACTATTGGTATTTTACTCTTCATTTCATAACAAGCTGTATAACTTTATGTCACTTAACCTCTTTGGAACTCAGTTATCCATTTTGTTAAATGAGAATTATAATAGTTCTAACTTCTTTTTAAATCCTTAGACTCAATTAAATCAGTACCAAAAAGATGTTTCAAGAAGAGAAGGAAGCTGCAGTGACTTCCAATTCAAGATTCATGAACTGACAAGTTTGCTGGAAGAGAAGGATTCCCTTATAAAGCGTCAGTCAGAGGTAACAGAGAAGGGGTCAAGGTGGAGAGGAACCATACAACTCAGCCATGTGGGACAAACACTTCCCACAAACTGAGAAAAGACATATTTCCAAGACTTAACTTTATTTATAAAGAAGAATGCGAATGACTATGAAGAGGAGAAGGTTCCATTTCAGGAGAAATAATTCAAATGATAGACAGAATTGAAGCAAAAAAATGTTATGCCTTTAATATTTATAAAATGTTGATTTTCTACCTCATTAGCAATGAAACTTCCAATAAGACTGAGTTGCTTCAGTAAGGGACTGTGTTATATTCCTTTCTATGACTATAGCATATAGCCCAAGATCTGTTATAAAATAGGTACTGAAGGAAGAAAGTATCCAAAATGGTGGTTAATATTGTATCGCTGTTATTGAACAAATGGAACTTGTAGTAATGTTCAGTAATAGATTATCTTTTAGGAAACAACATCTGTTTCCATATTGCAGTTTCAATACTTTTCTGCTATAGTTATACTTTTTAATCTTTTTCAACAGAAATTTTCACATATTCACCTTGAGAATCATGCCCATTCTATTTCATGTTATCCCTTAAGTAGAGAAATCCTATACCAGTTAGTGGATTCTTGCAGAGACTTAAAATGTAATTTATTACATATCATGAAGCAAGACTATATGGAATTCAACAAGTAGGATTGGAATATTCTTACCTCAAGGCTTAAAAGGAAGGGAAAAATTATTCTTAGAACCTTGTAAAATGATCAGAAATACCTCTTACCTCATGTTTGTACTGTTTTCAAATGGTTATATTGTCTTTTATTTGTAAGGAACTCTCGAAGTTGAGACAAGAAATATATTCATCTCATAACCAACCCTCCAGTGGTGGAAGGACAACTATTACAACTAGAAAGTAATGTATTTTTAATGAAATTTGGATATGATTTTGGTTATGATATAATCCAAGTTATAGCATGTTTACTTGATATATACACCCCTAGACAGAGTTTGGTGTTTTCTGCTGGCCAGTAATTCTACTGAGGAATGAATGTTCACAAAAAGACGATAAAATTCAACAGCACACTTTCACTGTATTTATAATACATTAAATACAATGAAAGTAAAAAGCAAATAATTCTTTGTTTAACCAACCGTATTAGTCAGGACTCTTTCAGTTGCACATGCCAGAAACCCAGCTTAAACTGGGAATCGGTTAATCCACTTAACTGGGATTGCTTGTTGTCCAAATGAATTTGTGTGATCAAAATATGTCTACAGAAATCTGTCTTTATCTTTTGGCTCTGTTCTTTCCTGCATAGACATCATTCCTAGGCAGCATCTCTTCTTATATAATCAATATGACCATAACTTACATCACAGCAATTTAGCAAAATCAAATATAAAGTGACTCTATGAATACATTCAGCAAAAATCAAGTTTGGCTGTTTCATATAAATGGAATAATGCAAAATGTAATCTTTGGAAACCAAAATCTTTCACTTCACATGTTTTCAAGATTCATCTGTGGTTTAGCATATGTCAGTACTTCATTGATTTTTGTTACTAAATCATATTCCATTTTATGGATGTATATAACATTTTATTTATCCATTGGTCAATTGATGGAAATTTGGGCTGTTTTCAGTTTTGAACAATGCTATTGTAAATAGCTGTGTACAAATTTGTGTATAAATATGTTCATTCCTTTTAAGTATATACCAAGGAGTAGAGTTGCTGAGCACATAGTAACTCTGTTTAACTTTTTGGAGAACTCCTAAACTTTTCCAAAGCAGCTGCACCATTTTATAGCTCTAAGCATTTGCCTTATATATTGTATTACTTCTATATTGCGTGCATAAATATATACAGTTGTTATGTCTTCTTGGATTGATCCCTTGATCACTTTGTAGTGTCCTTCCTTGTCTCTTGTAACAGTCTTTGTTTTAAAGCCTATTGTCTGATATGAGTGTTGCTGCTCCAGCTTTCTTTTGATTTCCATTTACATGGACCATCTTTTTCTACTCCCTCACTTTCAGTCTGTATGTGTCCCTAGGTATGAGGTGAGTCTCTTATAGACAGTATACATATGGGTCTTGTTTTTGTATCCATTCAGTCAGTCTATGTCTTTTGGTTGGAGCATTTAATCCATTTACATCTAAGGTAATTATCAACTTTTATGTTCCTATTGACATTTTATAAATCGTTTTAGGTTTGTTTTGTAGGTCTTTTCCCCCTTCCTTTCCTCTTTTGTTCTCTTCTCTTGTGTTTCTTGCCTAGAAAGTTTCCTTTAGCATTTATTGCACAGTTGGTTTGGTGGTGCTGAATTCTTTTAGCCTTTGTTTGTCTGTGAAGTTTTTGATTTCTCTGTCGAGTCTGGATCAGAGCCTTTCTGGGTAGAGTATTCTTGGTTGTAGGTTTTTTTCCCCCTTTCATTACTTTAAATATATCCTGCCACTCCCTTCTGGCCTGCAGAGTTTCTGCTGAAAAATCTGCTGATAACCTTATGGGGATTCCCTTGTATGTCATTTGTTACTTTCACCTTGTTTATTTGAATATTTTTTCTTTGTATTTAATTTGTGTTTCTTTGATTAATATGTGTCTCGGTGTGTTCTTCCTTGGGTTTATCCCATATGTGACTCTGCACTTCCTGGGCTTGGGTGACTATGTCCTTTCCCATGTTAGGGAAGTTTTCAACTATAATCTCTTCAAATATTTTCTCCGGCCCTTTCTCTTTTTCTTCCAGGACCCTTTTAAGTCAAATGTCAGTGCATTTAATGTTGTCCCAAAAGTCTCTGAGACTGTCCTAATTTCTTTTCATTCTTTTTTCTTTGCTTTGTGGCAGAGATTTCCACCATTGTCTTCCAGGTCACTTATCTGTTTTTATTCCTCAGTTACTCTGCTATTTTTTTCCACCTACCGTATTTATTTCAGTTCTTGTCTTGTTCATCTCTGTTTATTTGTTCTTTAGTTCTTCTAGGTCTTTGGTAAACATTTTTTACATCTTCTTGATCTCTGCCCCCATTCTTTTTCCGAGATCTTGGAACATCTTTACCATCATTATTACTCCAAATTTTATTTTAGATAGATTGCTTGTCTCCTCTTCATTTAGTTGTTTTTGTAGAAGTTTATCTTGCTTCTTCATCTGTAACATATTTCTTTGTCATCTCATTTTGTCACTTACTATGTTTATGGTCTCCTTCCCACAGTCTGCATGATCATGGTTCCTCTTGCTTCTGGTGTCTGCCTCCTTGTGGGTGAGGTTGGTCCAGAGGCTTGTTCCATTATCCCCTTGATGGGGTGATCAGAGGTTGCCCTACATGTTGCGTGCCCTAGATATTGCTATTTGGTTGTCACTGCCCTGTCAGGGGTGGGGTCCGTTCCCTAGCTGTCAGAGTGGAGACCCCCAGATCTGTTTCTTAGCTGTTTCTGATCTGTGGTATAAGATAGGTAGGATTGAAGCACTCCCACTGGGAGAGAAGCCACTGAGTATTCCTCCTCTGGAGGTGTTTACCTGTCAATGTGCTCTGTTGTGTCCCCCTTTGCCTGTTAATGAACTTACAAAGTACAATGTTGTTGGTGCTGTTCTTGGTCCCACCTTAACTGTGGGTATGCCAGCAATTGGCCCTGGTGACTCGCAAGCATTGTTTTCATCAGGCCATTGGCTCAGAGCCACTGAAGTCAGGTCCTAGGACTGCATCAGCTATGCACCTGGACCTGCCATGGGAACTACAGAGGCAGCTCATATTCTGGTCTGCCCCAACCTTCACATGTATGTGCCCACAAAGCCCACAGCTGCTAAAGTTAGACCGCTCCCAACTGCAAGAACACTTGCCCTTTCAGGTGTTTCACATGTACTGAATTTAGGAAGCCATCAATGGAGGTGTAACTGAAGTTTTCACAGCTGTGAAGAGAGAATTCACCACTTCTTCCTTAGTCACACATCCCCTAGTTTCAGCCCATTTGGACAGATTTCCTAGTAGGGGGAGCTATCCTTGTCCTCCTAGGACAGCATGGGCAGGTCCTGACTCCCACTGATGGATTTTCTAGAGGAGTAAGTTTACCTACCTGCTCCCAGGACAATGGGACAGCTCCTGGAACTCACTGGTGGATTTCCTAGTAGCAAGAGCTATCCGTGCTCTCCTGGGACAGCAGGGCATTTCCAGCATCTGCCTGTAGGTCTGGAAGAGGTGGCCAGTGTCTGCCTCTGGAGCCCAAGATGGCGATGGTGACCCTTGCCAGTCCCCAGGCCTCCAGTAGGCAGTGTCCTGTGCCTGGGAGCACTCACAGGGAAAGAAGCTCTTATGGTGGTCCCACCCCTCTCCTCATGTGCCTCCCAATAATGGTGCCTTCTTTCTCTGGTGGGCTCAGGCTTCTTCCTAGTACACTTAGACCTAGTTAGGTATAGTTTCCACACCTAACCCTGGTCCTCTCCCTGGGATTGAGCTCTGGAATCTGAACTTCAGCACCCAAGCCCCACTCTCACTGACAGAAGAGTGTCTCAGGTTGGGGGAACATAGATTGGCAGTGCCGACCCTCTGTGCAGGTTACCCTCTGTTTTGCCTTCCACAAACCTGTTGCTGCTCTCTCCCTCTTAGGCTCCAAAATTCTCCCTCTGTCCAGTATGATCTCTCCACTGGTGAGGAGACTTCTCAAGGTGTGGGAAACTTTCTTCCTTCACAGCTCCTTCCCAACAGTGCAGGCCTCTTCTTTTTCTTTTTCCTTTAGTCTTACCCAATTATGCAGAGGATTTTTTTAAAGTATTTTTTGGGGATGTCTGAGGTCTTCTGTGACTGCTCTTTTGTCATCATACTCCTTTTTATGTTTTCAAGACAAAAGATTTCTCTTTAAATTTTTAAAAATTGTGATATAATTAACATATAACATTATTTTAGTTTTGGATATACAACACAGTGGTTCACTATGTGCATATTTCTAAGTGATCACCACAATAAGTCTAGTTAATACTCATTATCATCCATAGTTACAAATTTTTTGTGATAGAACTTTTAAAAATTTAATCTTTTAGCAACTTTCAAATATACAATACAGTATTATTAACTATAATTACCATACTGGTCATTACATCCCAATGTATTTATTTTGTAACTGGAAGTTTGTACCCTTTGACCACTTTCACCCATTTGGCCCACTCCCTACTCCTCCACCTCTGGCAACCAGCAACATGTTCTCTTTACCTATGAGTTTGTTTTTTTTCACATCCCACGTACAAGTGAGATAATATGGTATCTGTCTGTCTCTGTCTGCTTTATTTCATTTTGCATAATGCCCTCAAGGTAAATCCATTCTGTTGTAAATGGTAGGATTTCCTTTATTTTTTGGCTGAATAATATTCCAGTGTGTGTGTATGTGTGTGTACTGAATATACAATACATAATATTTTATTTATCCGTTCCAACATTGATGGACACTTACACTGATTTTATGTCTTGACTGTTGGTAAATAATGTCACAATGAACATTAGAGTGAAGATACCTTTTAGTGTTTTCATTTCCTTCTGTTAAATACCCAGAAGTTAAATTGCTAGATCATATGATAGTTCTATTTTTAATTTTTTAAGGCACCTCTATACTGTTTTCTACAGTAGCTGCACCAGTTTGCATTCCCAGCAATAGTGCAAAAGTTTCCCTTTTTTCCACATCCTTGCCAACACCTGCTATTTCTTATCTTTTTGATAATAGCCATTCTAAGACAGGTATGAGGTGATATCTTTAAATTGTGTGCTTTCTTTCTTTGCTAACCGATCTAGTTAGAACTATATCAATTTTAGTGATATTCTTGAAGTTATTTTCATTATTGTATTTTATCTGTTTTATTGGTTTATTAGATATATTTCTTTTTTATGATTGCTGTAAGTTTTAAAGTATTCCTTTTTATATTATCACAGTCTGTCTTCAAATAATGTATCTCATCACATGTAGCATAGAAATTTTATGGTAGTATACTTCCATTTTCCCTTCATGATCTTTTTGCTATTTCTGTTATCTATATTTACTGTTACATATATTATAAACCTTCAAATACAGTATTTTATTGCTCTCAATAGTAAAATTATTTTTAAAATATTAAAACAAGAAAAACAATGTTTTATATTTACTCACATATTTATCATTTCTAGTGCTGTTCATTCTTTTGCTTAGATCCAAAATTACCATCTGATAATCATTTTTCTTCTGTCTTAGATACTTCCTTTAATATTTCTTGCCATACTTCTCTGCTGGTGAAGACTTTTCTTGGCTTTTTATGTCTGAAAACAGTTGTGATTTTGCCTTTATTATCCAGTTATTTTTGCTGTGTGTAGAATAGTAACTGGAGAGATTTTTTCTTCCAGTACTTTAAAGCTGTCATTCCACTGTCTTCTGACTTTCATTATGTCTAATATGAAGTTTGATGTTAATTTTATGATTATTTCTCTGAGTAATGGTCTTTTTGCTGTTTATGAGATTCTTTATCACTGGTTTTCAGCAATTTGATAATGATGTGCCTCTATATTTTTCTTCATCGTTATTTTTCTTGTTGTTCATTGAGCTTCTTGGATCTCTGTGTTTAGTTTCTATCAAATTTGGAAAGAATTAGGTAGTTATTTCTTCAATTAGTTTTTTGTCTCCTGCTAATCCTATAATCCAGGATATATAATCCTATATCCTGTAATCCTTCGATTACACATATATGAGGGCACCTGATATTTTACATGGCTAACTCATACTCTGTATATCTTTTTCAGTCTTTTTTTCTCTTGTGTTTGAGTTTGGATAATTTATCCCGATGTCTTCAAATTTAGTAGTATTTTCCTCTGCAATGCCTAATCTGTTGTTAATCCCACACATTAATTTCATCTTTATAAATCTGATGTATATCATGTCTATCATGTATATCTGATGTATATTATGTATATCACAGATTCTCACTGTGTTCATGCTTTCCTCCAACTTACTGATTATACACGTTATATATTTATTTATATTTCTAGTAGATGAAACCTTGTTTATTTGTCATTTCTTGGTTTGTTTCTACTAATTCACTTTTTTCTTTGTCATTACTCATATATTCCTGCTTCATTCCATGCCTACTAATTTCTTATTGAATGCCATATATTATGATTTTACATACTTGAATTCTGGATATTTTTTATAACACTAAGAATTTAGGAGGTTAGGTTATTTGTAAACAGTGTAATAATTTCAAGTTTTGTTTTTAAACTCTCAGAACAACTTGCAGTCTAGGACCAAGTCATCCCACTACTAAGGCAGTAGTAGTGTTTTGTTATATTTGCCTGATGCCTTCTAGTATTAGGAAGTCTTTTCACTCTGGTTAGTGGAACACAGACTGGAGTTCCCTTCACCAAGTGAATTCCAGGAATTTTAGGACTGTTCCTTTTCAGTGGTTCTTACCCCAGCCTCAGTAGCTTTTTCACATGCCTATACTGATCAGTACTCACCCAAAGACTTGTAGGGGAATTCTCTACAGATCCCTTCACCTCTCTCCAACTGTATAGCTCTCTCCTGTCTGGTATTCTGTTCTACAAATTCTGACTCCAGGCAGTGTGCTAGGCACTTGTAGGGCTCATGTCATCTGCTTCCCTTCTTTGGGATCACTGTCTTGTGCTGCCAGTGGTCCATCATTGCCATGAGCAGAAATACTTCCCTCTTATTCTCTTGAAAATAATAGTTTTAAATCTGTGTACACTAAGAGATTTTCTTTTTAGAAAAAGTTAAAAGTCATTCAGAGACAAATTAAATAAGGACTGTCAAAATAGGAGTGACTAAAAAGTAATGAAATTATTTTCTTGTCCAGCCTGTAAACTAACTTTTTTTTCCTATATAGGTACAGGACACAGTATCCAATCCTAGGCCTCTTGTATGATGACTATGAATATATACCACCAGGTAGTGATACACAAACTATTGTTATTGAGAAAACAGAAGACAAATGGACTTGTGTAAGTTCATGGGACATTTCTAGAGTATATAATTAGGGAGAAAAAATCCTAAGGCCATTGCGTTTTGTTAGCAGAGTTTCTCAGCCTCAGCACTATTAATATTTGGGGCTGGATAATTTGATGTGGGGGACTGCCCTGCACATTGTAGGACATTGTAAAACTATATAGAATCTAATTTTTAACACTATGATAATGACAGCCTTTTTCTTATGTTAAAATCTTCTTGAGTACTGAAAGCAGGTAAGACTAATCTATGGTTTTTAAAGTCAGGAAGTGGTTGGTTAACTTTGAGGGTTGGTACCCGATTGGAAGGAAACATAAGGAAGACTACTGGGGTACTAATAATATGCTTTTTCTTGATCTGAGTAATGGTTGCATATATGTGTTGAGTTTAGGGAAATTCATTTAGTTGTACACCTATGTGTGTACTACTTCTAAGTTTATTATATTTCAATAAAAGTCTTAAAATGCCCAAGTATATCATGATGAGCAACAGATAAATATATGTCAATCAACTATTCTGTAGAACCTTTTGAGGAAAATTTTAAATGTAGATTTATAGTTAATAAAATACTGCAGGTGTATAATTAATAAATTACTGCAGATATAATTAATAAAATTAAACATCTGTTAACTCACTTTAAACAATTATCTTTTGGTTGAACAAGCTCAAATATTTGAATAAATTTTAAAAAATTCAGAAAGCTGTTAGCTCTGAAGCCCTTCTCTGTGGTCAAATCATTAATCTTATATATATGGTTATCTATCATCAGTGGAAGCAACCAACATTCAATAGCCCTAAAATAAAAATAATTTGAACTTTGAAATATATTTTAATATATTGCATTTCTTAGGTCATTAATTAGTTGAGAATTACTTATTAATATTATTCCCCAGAGGTGGCATAAATGTGAGGACCTGCCAAATAAAGGGTCTATAGAATAATAGTTGTTACTTTTACCTTCATTAATAGCATACAGCAATGAACAGCAAACTTGATATCTGAAGGTACTAGATACTATTAGCAAGTTCAAAATGTATTTAAGTTCACAGATGATAAATGTGTATTTATCAGCAGAGACTTTTGGATATATTTAATCTCTAAATACGACACCAAGGAGTAAATCTACTTAAATCTTCCTCCCCTGTGCTTAAAGTCATTTGAAAATTATACCTTGACTAAAGTCAGATAAACCATTGTGTCATTGACTATACATATAAAAAAGTGCCAAAACAGCGCCATGCATTTCCTTTGATATTATTCATATCAATGTACATAGTGTTTATAACTTTGTCCATATAATTATAATGTCTTAAATTAATTATAAGCCAGTTCTAAACTATTTTTTTTTCTTTTCTAGCCATGAATGAATCCCCAGCTCAAAGGAATTTTTTGTGTCTTCATTAGTACTTTATTTTTTCATAACTAAAGCCAATCAATATTTTAAACCATGCTACAACCCTGCAAGTCTAATGGAATTAATTAGTTATACAGATGAGTTTCTCCAGCCTTTATAAGGCCTGAATCCTATCACATTCTTTTATTCAATATAGCAACATACTAATTTTTAAAACTCAATTATAAACTGTAGGACTTAATCCACTCTTTTTCAATAGGGTGCTTCCTAGACAGAGTTAATTTTGTTGGGGTAGACATTTTACAAGTTATCTCACTAGAAGTTTTCCTATGATATAGAGACTTCCCTGGTGGTTCAGACGGTAAAGTATCTGTCTACAATGCAGGAGACCTGGGTTCAATCCCTGGGTTGGGAAGATCTCCTGGAGAAGGAAATGGCAACCCACTCCAGTATTCTTGCCTGGAAAATCCCATGGACGGAGGAGCCTGGTAGGCTACAGTCCATGGGGTCGCAGAGTCAGACACGACTGAGCAACTTCACTTTCACTTTAGCTGCAGGAGTAAATACTATTTTTTAATGACAACAACAAAAAGCAATATTATTAAATTAAAAAAAAACAGTTTAGTGCATGGTATATACAGAATATATTTGCTTTTCTCATATTAAATCTTGTGATTAAAATAGATGATTTATTACATGTACAAAGGAGTTACATTTATACTTCTTTGAGATAAAACTAAATCAAAGGTGATGGTTAATTTCATTTATTAGGGAACTGGGATAATATTTTTTAAAATACTTAAATCTACTAGATTGTACATTACGGTATTATGGTTCTAAGTACTTGTCAGTGGCTTAGCAAATCTGTTCTTTTGAAGCATATCATCCCCAAATGAGCACACCCACTTTCTTAAAAACAAATAACACTATATTGCAGTAGAGAGTGGAAGGAAGGTGGGCTTTTCTTTAAACTAGTGGTAGACAAAACAACATTGAAATACTGTGTAAAAGTGAAACACTTGATATCTGTATTCTACTTGGGAGAAAGAGATCTTATCATAAAATATTTAATGTATTTTGAAGTTGGTTGATTAACTGGGTTCTAATGATTTTATAAAGTGAACTAAAGTATTTTCTAAATATATTAGTAGATATGAATGAACTTTTAAAATTTCAACCCCTTTGGTTAAAGTTAAGAATTAGCAAAAATTAAAATGTTTAGCATTGAAACAAGTATACTATCAAGGGTGAAACAGACCACCAGCCCAGGTTGGATGCAAGAGACGGGTGCTCAGGGCTGGTGCACTGGGAAGACCCAGAGGGATGGGATGGGGAGGGAGGCGGGAGGGGGGATTGGGATGGGGAATACCTGTAAATCCATGGCTGATTCATGTCAATGTATGGCAAAAACCACTACAATATTGTAAAGTAATTAGTCTCCAACTAATAAAAATAAATGAAAAAAAATTAAAATGTTTGTATTTGACAAAGTATAGATTAAGGTAACAAATAAATTTGGATTTATATGTGAATGAGGTTTTGCACTGAAATGTCTTTGCAAATATCTATATATAATTCTGTTATTCTTGATATTCTAATAATTATCCATTATACTAAGAAACTGTTAAGATAGGAACATATGAGGCACTATACTGAATCAAACCACAAATGAAGAGAAAAATGTTTTTAATATTTATATAAATATTCAAGTTAGTCTTGATATGAAGCAAAAAGCCTTATTTTCTTAATACTCTCACTAAAATGTTAAGCTCTGTAATGTGGGTTGGTACAATTCTAATCTTATTAGTGTTCTGTAACAGAATGAGCTATATAGTCCTTGCATTTTTTCCCTTAGCAGAGGAACAGGGAAATTTCTCCTCCACTAACTACTCATATATGTAACTGTAACAAAATTGTTATCTCCCCATTATACATTATGAAAGTGGAGGTTTTTAGTAGCCTGATAGAAAAGTGCTACCATAGCTGTTTTAAAATTAGAATGTGATTTTCCTAAAATATTCATATAAAAATAACAGTGCCCAAAATTTGGGCTCACTTGATCCATGCATAGCAAGAGAATGGGGGTTATAACAAGGTAACTATTATACTTAACAAAGTTATATGTATGTATTTATTTTTCAATTTTTTATTAAGTTCAATAAATGTGATTGTTTTCCTCTCCTAAGTTTCACACAGCTTATCTCTGAAAACTGCAGATATTGTCAGGTGAGGAATGCCTGTTTATCTAATTTCTGTTCCAGCATATTTTACTTTAGATGTTGAATAAAATGGAGACTGTGCAATGACATGCAAAGTTAATTTAAGTGTATAAATAAAATATGTATCTATGTGGTTTTTGTGGAAGTCCTAGTAGGAAACATGCAGTATGGATGTTTAGCTTAGCTGTACATTTTGGTCAGAAAGTTACTATTCACATGAATACTTATGTTAGAGGTAACAAGCACCATAATAGAAAATTCTGATATGGATTACTAGAGACAACACTTTAACATAGTTGGACCTCTCACTGATGCAGGTTTCTGCTTAAAATGAGAATTTCCTCACTTACAAACCTAGTCCTCTAAATTCCGTAATTCAGTAAGTTCATAACTAGATGCCATAAAACATTCTTCCCATTTTTGTAATGTTTTAACTGTAATACTTTGTCTTTACAGAAACAGTACAACAGGAACAAAATAAAGCTCAAAAAGTTGCATGCTACCACTCAATTTAGATCACTTTAACAAAAAGCCATTCTCACTTCTCATTATTATAATCCACAAAGATAACATCGTGTAGGCATAATACCCGTGAAAGTAAATAATAAGCTGTGAAAAGACTTAACTAAAAGGTCTCTCTCCCCCACCAGACACCATTACTAAATTTATTGGATTTCCATAGTACTTTTTTGTCCAGCAAAAAATGCAAAAGTACTTTTTTATCCATCTTAGGATAAATAAAATATATTTAAAAAAATAAATAACAGAATAAACCACATCTGTCTTATAAAACCATTAATCTTTAGTGACAAAACAAGACATACCACTTTTGAGCCTACAGAGGAACACTGGAATAGTAATATGACATAATTACATGATAGCCAGGCAGTCTTGGTAGTCTTGGATCAGTCTCTTGTATATGAAATATTAAGTCCAGAGTCTTTATGTTTGGCTTCCTTCCCATTTTTTTGTTATTAAAGTTTATGTTCCAGACATTCTTTATGTCAAGGGATAGACTTTATGACACATTACTTTAATAGCTGGTTCGCTAACACAATCAGTATTGAATACTCCTTCCCCAAGTGTGCCAAAATATAATAAATCAGACCAATTACTTAAAATGGGAGAATATATAAGCTTTTTGAAGTAGTTTCCTAAAGGGGTCTCATGTGCCAGTTATGCTATGACAGGAAGGCTGGGATCTAGACTGGGTAGCTGGGAGTTACATTATGGGTTAAATAGTTCCAATACTGCCAATTGGTCCAAATTTTAAAATGGAGATTTTCCTTTGGAATAGTTACTTGGGTAATGCTCAAAGAGAGAGTCCTAGCAACTGGAACAAGTCAGGTGAGAACATTTTTGAGATATCTAGTGCTAGAGCCTTGACCCTACAAAATCTAGAAGTTCTTTTATAGGGCCTCTAGATTGCCAATTAACAATAGGCAGTTCCTATCTAAGAGGTTCCAAGGTTCTAAGAGAACTTTGTTAACCAGTATCATATTTACAGGCTAATTCTTTTAGTAAGACAGGGTGGAATTATCTTGTGATATTATAGGGTTCTAATCTAGTTCTGCATTTTCTCTAAATGAAATCTTACGAGTCCTTAGTTTTGATAGAATTCCAGTTCTAGCCAATTCTCATAATAAAGGGAACTAGAAAGAACAGACCAAGAGAATTGTTTAGTTCCCCTGCCTTCATGTGAGATGTCTTCTTTTTCTGGAAGTAAGCATATTTAGAACTGTGTGATATCTTCCTTTAAAACTATGCCTGGGATTTACCTCAAAATAAGCCAGTGAGACAATAGGGAATAAAAATAAACCAATGAGGTGTAGGTGGGTTAAAGCAGGAGTAAGGAAAAGAAAAATGAGTCAAAATTGACCATGTAAGTAATGATTGCTGCAGTTGGGTAATGGCTATATAGGGGTTCATTATATTATATATGGTTGAAAGTTTTTTGCAATGAAAGTTATGTCATAGGTTTCTTTAAGGGAAGGTCAAGGTTCAAACTGATGGTTTTCCTGTATGAGACATGAATTTTAGAGCTCTACCTGAATAATTCTTAATAATTTCCTCTCTATCATGGTATAGGCCACTTGGAAGTAACAATCAGACAAATCCATTTCCACATAATGACCCTGAACTGTTCTAGAAAAGTGCCTATTCTTTTACTAATTCCAAAATGATTCCCCCTTCTTGTGAAGGTACTTTGACTTCCATTTTTTGGTCATATAAAATAGGCCTGTCTGGGTAAAATCTGCATTTTTAAAGGCAATCTCTTGTTTGTCACATGGGCTGAATTCTTACCTGTTCTATCTTGGCTGAGGTTTTCTAGATCCAATTAATAAGAGAGTCCATTTGCCCCACTGTAGCCATGAATGAATGGAATAACCTCTTCACATGACTCCCTGCTTCCCTTTGCTTCTCTACATTCTTCGCACAGCTTCCAAAATGATCTTCGAAATGTAAATCACATCACTCCTTTCCTTAAAACCATCTGACTTCTTATTTCAAATTCTCACAGGTCTCATCCATTATCAGTTCCTTTCACCATGATGCAGCCAAAGCTTGTACCATCTCAGGTTGTCTGTATTTGCATGTTTCTCTGCCTTGAATGCTCTTGCACAAAATCTTCACATGACTGGTTTCTTCTTGGCACTCAAGTCTCAGCTCAAATGCCAAGTCTTCAGTATGGATTTCCTCATTATACTTACTCGAAATTGTTTAAGCAAAGCTGCCAAAGTGTACCAGAATTACACGGGGGGCTTTGTCTAACATCTCACTATTCCTATTGGTGGTTAACACATTGGCAGCTTGATAGAAATGCAGAATAGTAGACCCCAGCCCACACCTATAGAATATGTATTTTAACACTATCCCTAGACAAACTCTATAGACATTAAAGCTTAAAACATTGGTCTAACATGTAATGGCTTTTTCTCTTAGTGATCATTAAAGAATAATTAATCCAACTGACAGAGTCTTAAGCAATAGTGCTATATATCTAGGTACATGAATTCTACTGAACACTGACTACTATGCTCATTTGCAGAATCTTCCCCAAAGCCTTGACTTAATGAATGTATATTGGTCTACGGGAACATAATTAGATTCATTTTTTAGGATCACGTTACTTAAGCAGACTAAGAATTTTTAGTTTTCCCTATAATACTAAGTCTCAAGTCTTAAGAT